AGGACAAGCCACAGCCAACCTCACCTCACTGACACCTCAGTCTCCAGAGAGAGCTACTTCCTGTATACCCACGCCTATATGCCTTTCTGTCCTTGCAATCTCACTTCCTCTCTCCTCCCAGCTACATCACTTCCTCTTCCTGCCAAACTCTGTCACTTCCTGTCTGTCTGTACGGACTTCCAGACCTTTATGGTTAACTAGTGTTGGAATCCAAGGTGTGTGCCACCAGGCCTGGCTCTGTTCCCAGTGTGGCCTTGAACTCACAGAGATCTGGATGGATTAAAGGCGTGTGCTACCATTGCCTGACTTCTGTGTTTACTCTAGTGGCTGGCTTTTTCCTCTGATCCTCAGATAAGCATTATTAGGGTGCACAATACAGTGGGGGACACAATATATCACCACAGGTTTCTACTCATATTTTTTTATATTTGAAATATTTTATAATAAATTATACAAAAACAATTTGAATTGAGTTGATGTAGCCATTAATGTGAACCAGTGTTTTGTGTTTAAAATTGTTATTCACTGTGTTTGAGATAGGATCCTAACTAGACTCTGTTAAGTTCTTAAAAAAATATTTGTTTATTTTTCTGTACATGAGTGTTTTGCCTGCATGTATATCTGTGCTCCAGATGGTGAGGTTGTCATACTTACTGGACTGGAGTTAACAGATAGTTGATGGTCGCCATGTGGGTGCTGAGAATTAAACCCGGTTCCTTTACAAGAGCAGCCAATGCTCTTAACTGCTGAACCATCTCTCCAGTCCCATAAGTGAAGTTTTAAAGTCCTACCCTTTATACACTGGATTTATCAAAAGGATACCAGAGTGCAAGGCGCTGGAGTCAACCTAGATTTTGTTGCTAATGGGCTATGGTGTTGGAGTTGAGCCAGTAATTGTGGAGAAAGACTCTCAGTGATTATAGAAATGGGATTTAAGAAATAATTAGGGATCTGAGGTGCACCTGTTGCATATTTTGCACACTATATTCAGAGCTATAATTAAGCTAATGTTTATTGAGTTCAGCTCATAGACCAGACATCCTGCACATGTATTTGGCTATTTCTTTAAGCAGGGGCAGGGACTGAAGCCAGTGTCTATCCAGGCAGGTGCCCTGCCACGGCCTGCAGTCGGTTAGCTGCACAAGTATTTCACAGATGACTTTCCCAGCTCTAGGTTTTGTTGCCATTTATTATGCTCATTGAACAGAACGAGCAGTCATCGAATGTATGGAAACTTTGCTCAGGGCCGCACTTCAGAGGCAGAACCCAGGTGGTCTGAGGCTAGAGTTCATGTAATTGTTTTGTTTTATGACTTTACCTCAAGTGTGAAGATTGGTGAAGAGAGCTTAGGAATCTTAATTCTAAGCATTTCTGTGGTATAGCTCTCCAAAGGAGAAAGGCATTAGAGCTAGTCTGGGAATTTGTTTGGATGCCCGACTGGATTACTTCTCAAAAATGTGTAAATAAGGTAAGCAGCATGTGACTCTATGGTGAGTGAAGAGTTTTCTCCTTTTTCCTTCTTGCTTTATCATGTTGTGAAAACATGTTGGAGAACTATTACAGTGGCACTGTTCCTGAATATATGACTCATTAATGCGTAAATTTAAACAAGTTTGGTATTACTGTTTGCTTGGCTGTTTCAGATAAGGGCTGGTGATGTCCCCCAGGCCAGCCTCAAACTCAGGCCTGCAATTACAGACTTGTACCTCCATGCCTAGCGTTGAAACAAGTTTAACATTTACTGAGGTTCTTAGATTGTCTTAGGGTAGAACAGACTCCTTTGTTTCAATCTTAATGCCCATATCTTTTTCTGAACTGAAATAACTTTAGGGAAACATCGTGGTATCTGTTTTGGACATTTTAGACACAATGACTCAGAGACTCTGAGATGGACTTGATATGCTAGTTTACTGGCTGGATTCGGAGAAAATTAGAAAGTGGAGTTCCCCCCCCCCTTAAATTTGATATATACATTTACTTAAATCTGTGTTTTAAACTGTAATGGCAAAAGGAATGGGTGGATTTCGAAGCAGGACTGTGTATTACAGTAATTGAGTTTTGATTTGAGAAATGAGATTCTAGTGTTGGCTGTGTTGTGCTCACGGACCCAAAGATCTGGGCACCTCCCCTCTTTAATGAAAACTTGATTTCTGGGTTAGGTATCAGATTTGTCACTTAATAAAATGAATAGAGCTGAGCCATGTTGTTTCAGTACCCTTGACATCCACAGAAGATATGTCTGGTTTAAGAGTCAGAAAGGTTTTTCCTCAGGGACCACTTCAAAGCCACAGCATACCTACACAGGAAAGAGGAGGAGGAGGAGGAGGAAGGCACAGAGCGTCAGAGACCTAATTAGACTAAAGAAAATGCTTGCCTTCTGATTTGAGTTAATGAGCTTCCCTGTACATGTGAACAGAAACTGGGGGGAGCTAAGTTTTCTTTCCTACCTCTGCGAATGAGTGGTGGTGGTTTGGGGCAGCCATTTGGGGTTATTTTTACAGGCTGTCAGTCATGTGTTATGAGGTCAGGCTATTTTCATTGCTTGTCCTTATTTTTGAAATTTCCAAAGGTCAGTTAGTAAAGCACAGTAGCACTGTGGAGATGTGGCTGAGAAAAGTACACTTTGGAACTTTATACAGATTATTCACATGGGTCCTTTGTGCTTAATAAGACCAGGTTTTAGAATACCCTTGAACCTACCCATTTACAGAAAAACTTCCATGTCACAAGCATCCCTCAATCCTGTTTGTATTTTCTTGCTCTTGGGTTTGAAGTTGACAATAATTTCCTCTTTATCAAAAGTACTTCAATGCTAAATCAAGAATATAGGTAGAAATAGTTTGAATATTCAGTGGTAGGTATTTAAAACAGTATCTGTCATTAACATGAGCCTTCTTATCATTAGTGTGGGCACACAGGTTTGGTGGGTACAGAAGAAATTTAAAACTCTGGTTCTTTCCCAGGAGAGGTTTTGCGCTCTCTCTCTCTCTCTCTCTCTCTCTCTCTCTCTCTCTCTCTCTCTCTCTCTGTTGCTTGCCTACTGGTTTTCGGACAGCAAGCACTGGAACATTTATTGGGATGAATCAAGGGGACAACAATTTAAAATGTGAGACACTGTGTTAAGTTGGCAGTATAGGCAGTAGTGCTGTGATTCTGAAGGGAGCAGTCTTTATGGGGTGAGACATGAAGTTGGGAGACTTTATGAAGGAACTTGGGAGGTATAGGCTGGAGGATCAGGAGTTCAAAGTCACCTTTGGTTACATAGTCAGTTTGAGGCCAACCTGGCCTACATGACACCCTTTCTCAGAAAAACAAAATGTGATTTAAACATTGAAGAATGGGAAGATAAGATTCAGAGATGGGAGGGAACCTTCCAGGAATGGGAATAATGGGTTCCGGGAATGGGAATAATGGAAGTTAAGAAAGGAGGCAGAGACAAAGCTATCTTGTATAGGGGAACATATAAGGCAGTTACTATAGAGGAATTGGGTTCTGTAATAATTGAAGGGCAACAATAAGTAATGTTTGTACAAGGCCAAGTATATATCTATGTTGATACACCTGTGCTTGATTTAAACGTGAAAATATTTTTTTTCTTCTCTATGCTCAAAAAACGATCAGACTGTGTTAAAAAGTACTTTCTTAATGTTATCGTTAAATCTCTGTTGAAAGGGTTGAGGTAGGTCAGAATTGGACACCATTGGCTTGGAATTGAGTTTAGTGGGTAAAAAATCTGATTTGAATTCCTAATCCTTATTTTATTTTGATTTCCAATTATGACAATCACAGTGATCTATGTTGATCTCTAAAACATGGAATATACAGGGAGTTGGTTTGACAGAAATTAGGAAATAGTCTACCTGACCTGGCTAGTTCCTGCTAATTAGACGTAAGCTTTCCAGGAAACTGACTCACCATGTCCCTTTATTCCCAAACTTGTTTCTTTATGGTTAAATTGCTAGGATTAGTCACCATCCTTTACTTCAGGCTGTCATCGTTTTGAAATACTTATATTAGTATTATAAAAGCTGTTTCAAATCACTAGATTTTAAAAAATATGACTATTTAAAGCCTCAACTTTTCATGTTACATTTATGGCCATAAGCGTTTAATATTTAATACGGGGATTGTGATTAACACCTATTCTAATTTTATTAGTGGTAGCTTTACCTTTTAAAAACACTAATATACAAATGCGTTTAGCAGGCATTTTCAGAACTCTGTGAGGTTGTTTTTGCTCCTCAGTTGCGTTTCTGTTTTTCTGCTGTTGTAAAGTGCAGCCCTTTGCATGTTCTAACTTGACGTGACGTGGTCAAGTGCAGTTTCCTTCCTGTTGCTTGTGTTAGAGATAAGGCTACATTTCAGTGCATTCAAAAAGGAGCCCCTGAAGACAGGGTCAGTCTGGTAACGCCCAGCGTTTTCACTCAGCACAGGTTTCCAGGGACAGAAAAGTAGGCTTTAGTTTCCACTCACTTTAAAAAGCTCGTAAAACAGCGTTTACAACCTTTAACTGTCTATATATATATATATATATATATATATATATATATATATATATGAGGTCGGGGATGGCGCTTGCACGTTGCTGTTAAGGACAAATGAGTCTGTTAGGAAATTATTCAGAGAGTGGTGGTTAATGTGTATGTAGGTGATTTGCTGGGTTAGTGGAAAGAATGTAACTGTTTATATATCCTCTGCTGGGATTTAAATTTTCCTAATTATTACTGGACACCCCCCCCCCCCCCCCACACACACACACACTCAGTACTTTAACTCAAGTATAGCTTGGGGAAGAAAGAAAAAGTAATGAGGGGAGATTTTATCTCAGGAATGAAGTCTTCAAAGACAGTATGTCTTTAAAAACAAAGCCCTGTGTTTACTAGCCATGCTGATTTTACTTCAGAGCAACAATGACACTTGGAGACACCGTGCTGTGCCACTTGTTACATTTTAGCCAGGCGGTTGCATTTTCACGACTAACATAAGCTTTTGCTTTTCAGGCCCGAGAAGACCAAGAGAATTATTTCAGAAAAAGTGCCAGTTTGCTAGAATGTCAACGAACCAAGGAAACCTGAAGCACTCCTTTCTCTGAAGAGGCCTGGGTCTGCAGGAACTGCACAGACTTGCCTGAGGGGCTTTACCACACCGGCACTGCACCCCACTGCTCCAGACTTGGACCTGTTTGGGACTCTCTCATGTGGATCTAAGGGGAATGCTTTACTATGGCTGCTGTTGCCCAACAGAAGGACCTAGTGTTTGAATTTGCAAGTAACGTCATGGAGGGTGAGCAGCAGGTGAGCCAGAAAAAATGGGGTTAGTACAAGTTTTCATTAGTATCAGAATATTACTTACTTTGATAGTAGGAAAACTTACTGGAAAAAAATTTAGAAATTAAATATTTGGCAGTAATGTCATTTCATATTTTAAGTACCAGTTAATTCCCTGTATGTAAATGCTACCCTTAGTTTTGATGTGGTAACAAGGAAATATTATTTGTGGTTCATCTTGTTTTTCTAAAGTGAGACCAAAAGTAACTACCCCGAGTAATATTTCAAATTACTTTAAAAAGTTCTAGAGAACATACCAATATCTATAATTAATCTTTTAATTATGGGCTATTTTTTTTTCAAGTAGATTAAACAATGTGGCCATCTCATAATCACATTTCTCAGTCCAAAGAATATGACCCTGAGGAAGTTTCCTAATTCTTCCAGACCTGGATTTGTCATCTGGTGGGGAATTGAATGAAGACTTTTGAAGTTACCGTTCATGAAGTGTGTGTGTGTGTGTGTGTGTGTGTGTAATACATACATACATATATGTGGAATATATGCTGTGTCAATTATTGCCTTTATATGAATTAAGATCTCAAGAGATACTGAGATAAAGGATTTAAATTTAACTTTGATCCTCTGATCTGCCCACAGTGTGTAAAGGCTAGAACAAAATCTCTTGGAACTTGGTAATTCACTTAATTTAAAATAGGCAATGATGAGCTGGGTGGTGGTGGAGCGTGCCTTTAATCCCAGCAGCACTCTGGAGGCAGAGCCAGGCAGATCTCTGTGAGTTCGAGGCCAGCCTGGACTATAGAGTGAGATCCAGGACAGGCACCAAAGCTACATGGAGAAACCTTGTCTCGAAAAACCAAAAAAAAAAAGGCAAGGATATAAGAGATGGCGTGGGAATTAATGGGTTGAGTAGAGTTAGTTTGCTAAGAATCTTTTAAGAGGCAGTGGGTTTTAAGTGTGCTCCATAAGGATGATGTATAGGCTGGTCCCAAAACTTTAAGTAGACCAGTTTTAATGTCTGTTTTTATTCTAGAAACATAGTTACTACAAATAATAAAATTGATTCTTAGTTTTGGCAGGACATTGCAGTTTCTTAGCTGTTTGTATTGTATACCAAAGTGATACAATACAAAATTTATAAATATACCTACAAAAGGTGAGAATTTGGACTAAGTAGCCTTAAAATCAAGAGAGTCAACTGAGGGGAAAAAAAGATCACAACTAAAAGCATATTAATATCGATAGAAACTTAATCTAGAGACAATAGAAGACAGTATTTCGGAGGAGAAAGTGTTTTTGAATTGTTTTAAGACACAGGATGTTTGTGTAAGTACTAAAGCTTGAAAAATAATGTGCTGACTATGGCTTCTTCAGATAAAAGGTCACGTGATAGGTCCCAGGCTTGGTGTGGTGAGGTTTGATGTGGCACAGAGGATGGAGCCCTAAGCCACTCACCATCCTGCTCTACTGCACTGGCTCTCACCCTCTTGACCACAAGTACACTTTACGTTATAACACCATGTTCTTATTGTGATAAGTAGACTTAGAGGTATACTGCACAATAATGCTTGTCCACTTACTATGCTGGATGTACTTAATTTATCTTAGGCTTTTGTTTTTTTATGTCTTTGGGAAGGGTATTAACCCCCACCCAGCTCTGTTATTTATTACTTTGTTAGTGCTTTGTTTTTCTGAGACAGGGTCTCTCTATGTAGTTCTTACATTGTTCTCATTATCACTTTATAGATTTGGTATGTGATAAGATAATCCCCACTTCAAAGGGTGGTGTACTATATCTACCCGACTTAAGCCTTGGAAACCATTACTTTGCTCTCTGTCTTTGTATATTTGCATATTATGGGCATTTTATATAAATGGAATCATAACATACATTTTCTTGTGGTTGGATCCCTCCCCCCTTTCTCTCCCTCTCCTATATTGGGAATTAAACCTAAGGATATAACCCTAGCTTTTAAACATGCTCATCTATGTTTACCATGTATCACATACAAACAGCAACAGCAATTAACAGCAACAACAACAACAACAACAAAAACCCCTTAAGGTGACCTTTATTGAGCCTTACTTTTTGGGGTGCATGGCCAAATTACAATTTATTCTGACTAAAAAAAAGAAAAACTTTTCCCTCTTTCAAATTCATGGCCTCTGTTTTTCATTACTTGTTTGTTGTTGCATACATATACGGGTACTGTCTTAGTCAGTGGTCTATTGCTGTGAAGAGATGCCATGACCATGGCAACTCTTATAAAAGAAAGCATTTCATTGAGGTTTGCTTATTGTTTTGGACATTTAGTCCATTATCATCATGGTGGGAAGCGTGGCAGCATGCAGGCAGACATGGCGCTGGAGAAGTAACTGAGGGTTCTACACCTGGATTGGCAGGCAGCAGGAAGAGAAAGCCATTGGGCCTCGCTTGGGCTTTTGAAAACTTCAAAGCTCACCTCCAGTGTCACATTTCCTCCAACAAGGCCACACCTCCTAATGCTTTCAAACCCAGTGCTACTCTCTGGTGGCCACCATTCAAATCTGTGAACCTGTGGGGGCCATTCTCATTCAATCCACCATATATATATATATTCTCAAATACATCCTGCCTAATCTGTATACTATTACTTATATGTATGTTTTCAGAGAGCAAGAGTATATGGGAGGGTTTGAAAGGAGGAAGAGGAAAATGATGTAATTATAAAAGAAATAATAAAAAAAGGAAAATATACTAAAATGAAATAAATGGCAAATACTAGAGCTGGCAGGTGTAAAATGAACTTGGCTTGCTGTGCTTCTAAATACATGGTTCGTCCGTCCATCGATCCATCAATCCATCGATCCATTCATCGATCCATCCATCCATCCATCCATCCATCCATCCATCCATCCATCCATCCATCCAGTGTTTATGCACCGTTATGCAGATATGGAGGCCAGACAACATTTTATAGGAGTTGGCTCTCTCTTTTCACCATATGGGTCCTGAGGGTCAAACACAGGTTGTCAGACTTGGTGGCAGGGCCCTTAACCCACTGAGCCATCTCCCTGGCCCTAAGCCAGTTCTGGGAACTGTTTATTTCACCAGTGTAGGCCTATCATCCCAGAATTTGGGAGGTACAAGTATGAGGATCAGTGGTAGAATGCTTGCCTAACACACAAGAGGTTAGTCCCTAGTTCCCAGGAAGCAACAAAAGAAAAACAAAAACCAAAGGCGATTTCCTGTTTCTATTTAGGTAAAATATTGAACGACTTCATCCGTGTATTTTTCTTGATTACTTATTATATGTCTTGCAGTATAAAAAGTTATTTAGTTCCGTGTTAAACGCTATAATAATTTTTAAAGATAATCTTACTTTTTTTTTCTTTTTAAATAGACCCAGAAAAAAAAAAAAGAAAAACTTGGAGAACCTGGATAATTTGAACATACTCAGAAAAATTGTTTTTTGTCCGAATGTGTTCAAATACCCAGTGAGAGGTGGAGTTTTTACTTCCATACCAACTTGTCACATACATATATGTAGTACAATTGGCACATGGCAAAATACTGTCAGAGCTCATTGTGATAGCAGGAAATGCTGAGTGTTTGGTTTGTTCAGAATTGGAGATGAAGGAAGTCATTTCATGATTAAATCAGAGGTCTTCAGAGTGGTGTCTTCAAGGTTGAAATTTTGGGCTGGGCCCCTAGTCTGATTGGAAAGCAGGGCACAGGAATTTGTTTTAAAGATTTATTTTCTTAAGTGTACTATGTTTGTTTAGTGTGTATGTTTACTGGAGAAGTCTTAGATTCAAGGAGGTTTTCAAGATGATGGCAAGAATGAGGCACCAATCTGGTTGGGGGTATGTGTGCAGTGTATGTCTCTCTGTCTGTCTGTCTGTCTTGATATAAACATATACTAATTACTTGAAAGTATGCTTATCTTGAACTTGTTATTTAAAAGAAGTATCTGCATTGAGGAAATTTCAAAAGGATTTTTTACCCTGCTTTTTGTCTGAGGAAAATGTTTTGCTCTTCGGCTGTGGGCTGTTTTCTAGAGGGCTGTGGCAGGATGTTTCACAATCACCGTGGAACAGACTGAGAGCTGCTGTTAGGGAAACTTGGCAGACAAGTTATGTGAGTGCTCTTGTATTTTTTTTTTTAACATCTGAAAGCCTGTTGAAAACTTAACAGCACTGAAGTAGTAGTCAGAGTTTTTAAGTCGCCATCTCGGACTGCAGGGCCTGCTGTGGTGAGGGAAATAAAGAAATCTTTTAGCAGAAGCATGTATGTTGCTGTTCCCGCTGGTCCTTCACCTCTCCTTTCAGTTGATGGTTCATGACATATGTGAAGAACCACAACCAAGGGGAACTCCGGGGATAGTGTTGAACCTGGAGGAACTGTCCTTGGTTTGATTTTTATTATTGCTGCTGAAATGTTGGCTGAAATTTTGCTTTTAACATATGCTCTAGGATTTACCTGTACATAATAAGCTCTTTTCCCCCGCCGCTTGAGCTTTTAAGACTTTCAGTAAAGTTAGAAAACCTATGAAACTCAGTTTTCTTCACTATAGTGAAACTGGCTGCTAGAAACAGATGCTTCAAAACTGATTTGATAGTTTTGATTCCAGGAAATTTTTCTTCTCCAGTCCCTAGGGTTTGTGGTTTGCTTTAGTTCTGTTCCACAAACAAAGTAAAAATCATTTACAAATGCCAAGTGGCAAAAGACCTTGTAACATATCTGTTTATATTTCTAGTATCAGAGATTTGCGTGAATGATAAGAGTTGACCCAATTTAGGCAATGTAGTTTTGTGTATTTCTTTCTACCAGGGTTTCTAGACCCTGAGTGCAAATTGGACCCACTTGGGGAAGTTTATTTATAGGCCCTGGCCATATCCTCAGATACTCTGAATTATCTGGTATTCATTTGCTGTTTTAAAGTGTTTCCCAATGTAGAGACAAGGTTAAGTAATGCTAGAATTTAGTGAAGTTCTCTTTCTCAAATCACACCTAGAACTGGGATATGGATCAGTGTTATAGTA